GCCCGAAAAATACTTTTACTCGCTGCTTCTTCTGTTCAAACCATGGAGAGATTTGAGTGAACTCAAAGGTACATTCGAGACTTACACGGATGCCTTTAAGAATTCAGAGTCTGTTTTAACGAAGGCAATGAAATATCACGAAAGGCTCGAAGAAATACAGAAAGCTTTTGAGAACGTTGCTGAATTAATCGAGAAGCGCGAAAATGATCTGAAAACAGCAGACAGAGACAAATCCGATGACGATGAACTGGATTGTAATCCGATAGAAGCTGACGACGCGATGAAAGATCTGGAAGATTTTGGTAAGATTGACGACCCGATTGATTTATCGCAAATGATGTCGCAATTGAACAAAGACCAGAAAAGAGTCTTTGATGGAGTATGCCAAGTTTTACAAGATAAGAATCAGATTCTGCGACTGTACGTAAGTGGCGAGGGTGGTACAGGGAAAAGTTTTCTAATTGAAACGATTAAACATTGGATCAGAATAAATTTGGAAAAAACGACTGCCATATCTGCTCCCACGGGTATCGCAGCATTCAATATCGATGGCTTGACAATCCATAGAATGTTTCAACTACCGGTTAGTCATGAATCTACACCAAAATATACGCAATTGTCAGACATGGTCTTGAAAACTTTGAGAGACAAATTAAAGAATGTCGAATTATTTATAATCGAAGGAATTACATGTAACAATGCAATGATGGATTTAGGAACGACTGTATTCAGTGATGGTCAAGCCTATGTAGGTTTGTCACGAGTAAGTAAATTGGAAGGCCTACATTTGATAAATTTCAATCCAGCATCAGTTAAAGCAAACTCGAGAGCCATTGTAGAATATAATCGACTGAGATCTATATTCAAATCTGAACTGCCACAAATCAATCCGTCCGAGAAAAAGGTTGTGAAAATGTACGATCGTCGATGGGATATCCCTAATATCATTGATGATATGCAGAATTATGATTGTGAGGAACCAGAAAGTATAGTTACGTGGAAAATATATGGCCTTTGCAATAACGATGCTGTTTCGTGTTACGCTAATGTAATATTACAATGTGCGTTTCATTGCGTACGTATTAGGCAACAAATACTGAAAAATAAAGCATCGAATGCATTGACTGATGCTATCTGCGCGTATGGTGAACGTAAATATTGCAACATTCAAGCGGTTAGAAGATCTGTCGGAAAACGCTTCGAAGAACGAACACAACAAGATGTTTCGGAATTTTTTACGGCTCTAATGTCGACGTATTCCGACATCAATGATGTATTAAAACTCGAATTAAAGCACGTAACATGTTGCTCGAATGTCAAATGTAATTACAATGTAACTAAGCTGGAAAGCAGTAGTTTGTTAATATTACCTATACATTCGACATTAAAAAGGAAAAAAGGTGTCACTCTACAAAGTTTGATTAATGTAGAATTTTCTAAATGGGAAACGATAAACGGCAATTGTAACGAATGTAAGGGCACCGTGTTGAAAAAGAAAACCGTAATCGAATCAACTTTATCCGTCGTAGTAATACAGCTCAATTTATATACTTTTGTAAACGGTGCTTCTAAAAAAATTATCAACAATCGGATTAACGCCGTGCCGACGAGTAATATCACGATTAATAAAAAAAAGTACAAGCTAATAAGCGCTATATTTCACGAAGGTGAAGAAATGAATCGTGGTCACTACACGTGTATGTTGAGAGCTGACACAAAATCGGAATGGTATTACTCTAATGATATGGAAGTGTTCAAGAAAAAATGGCCCAAAGGAGCACAAGGGGCATACATATTGTTCTTAGAACAGATTAAATAATGGCGCTGTATAAAGGCTGCCGTAAGCGAAATAAAAGGCTGCCTGTATAACGCTACATTAAAACATCAACTGTTCTAGCGCTGTATAAAAGTTGCCGTAAGCGCCAAAATAAAATATCGGCTGCTCTGGCGCTTTATAAAAGCTGCTGTAAGCGCTGCATTAAAACGAGTGCAATAAGTTTCTAATTTGACCTAGGCTTCATGACATTTCAAAAAGTATCATCCAGAAAAAAATTATCAGACAGAAATATGTATGTCGTGTTAAAATCGGAGAGACGAAGAAAAATATATGGTTGCGTTCTCACGAGAATGGGCGATGGAGGGGCCCATTCTTTATTTTCAATATTCATACAAGAATATAAATTCATTCTGTTGCAATTGAAATAAATGTGCAATGTATCGTTAAAAGTTATTACAATTATACAAACATTTACATATATGATTAAATAAAATATATATGTATACTATAATATAATTATATATTTTATATATGTACATATATACCATATATTTCAATTATTTTGAACTGTATTGCATAAATTGTTACTTATACAAAGTTATGTGATAAGAATCGAAAATACATATATTTGTGATACTTGAATTACTAGAAAGCTGCTCTATATATCTGTACTTTAAAAAGTAAGTGATATCCTAAAAAAATCATAAAAATGAAAAGGTCAGGCCATGTTCAAAAGAAGGTACTCAAAAATTTAAACGATCTAATAATAAATTATCACGAAAAGTAACTGATATGTTATTCAAGGTGCCAGTTCAAAGTGAACATACGTAAAGTGTATATTATCTAAATTTAGTAATAATATATTACCATGAAAAGTAACTGTGATATTTTATTCAAGGTGCAAGTTCACATTGAATATACATACATATAAGTAAAACTGATTACAATTTGATTCTAGAAAATAAGTGCGATATGTTATTCTTAGTGCACAAAATATAATAGTCGTTTATAGAGATTTGATTTGAAATTCATACTAGCCCGTACAATGAAAAATAATTGCTCGTAATTCCAGAGTACCAATTTGTTAATGACTCAGAAAAATAACATGGCGGCCTGCTCTCAAAAAACTTTCGATGGGTAGAATAAATAATTGAAATAAGAGTTGTGAAAATTGTATAAATTAAAAACCTCCAATCTTTCTTTAGTAAAATTTCGAATTTTCGTATCAACTTCCGATTTGTGTTATACCGTATTTTCAGGGAGTAAGTTATTGATCAGAAAACTTTGCCTTGTTGCTCGAAACGGGTGTATATTAAGTAAAATTTATAAATGTACAGTTCTCAGGTCAACTACAATAAAGCTATACGCTTAAAAAGTTTACTGATTATTTGTCGTAATATACAATAAAAAATTACATATTAATTATTCAAGATACAAGTGAGAAATAAATATCATTAAAATATACAAAAAAAATTTATCAATTTGACTCTGAAAAGTAAGTGACATGGTTCTCAAAGTGCAAGGTTTCATTTGACTTACAATTTTCTTCAGAAACACAGAAGAAAAAGGTATTTGTATATAGTTTTGTATATTCACTTCGTTGCGTGTGTAGAGCTTTTAAAAATACGTTGAATCCTTATTCTAATCTAATCTTCTTCTAATGTAATACTTTTCGTATTTCAAATGTTGTAGTAATTATTCTGTAAGAGCTTTGACATTATTTCTAAATGGACATCGAGAAACATCATAGTTTTTTGAGAGCAGGCCGCCATGTTATTTTTCTGAGTCATTAACAAATTGGTACTCTGGAATTACGAGCAATTATTTTTCATTGTACGGGCTAGTATGAATTTCAAATCAAATCTCTATAAACGACTATTATATTTTGTGCACTAAGAATAACATATCGCACTTATTTTCTAGAATCAAATTGTAATCAGTTTTACTTATATGTATGTATATTCAATGTGAACTTGCACCTTGAATAAAATATCACAGTTATTTTCATGGTAATATATTATTACTAAATTTAGATAATATACACTTTACGTATGTTCACTTTGAACTGGCACCTTGAATAACATATCAGTTACTTTTCGTGATAATTTATTATTAGATCGTTTAAATTTTTGAGTACCTTCTTTTGAACATGGCCTGACTTTTTCATTTTTATGATTTTTTTAGGATATATAATATATACATATATACACCCAGTAAACAAAAAATCATTGCTATATTATAATAATTTTCACTAACATAATAATGTTGTCAAGTATGTAGTTTTTAACATTGTATGCAACATTATTATGAACAAACTTTGACATCGATTTAAAGGTTTCGATAATGTTGAAATAACATTTTCTAAGTCTTTATTAACGTTTTTAAAATATTTTATTAATATTTTCAGAGCAATGTTATTAAATAATATTTTTAAAACATTTATAAAACATCATTAAAAATATTTTTTAAATATTTATACGTTTATTAAATATTATAAACATATTTATAAAACATTATATCCTAATGTTTAGAAAATTTATATAAAATCAACATTTTAAAATGTTGATTAAATATGTATTCTTGCTTACTGGGCAATCATATATTATATTAAATATTATATGAAATGTGGACTTTCTTCCCCTGAACAGTAAAAAAATACATTAACAATTTATATGCAATTCAGAATCTCAGCAAACATTATTTTTAATTAGTTAAAACGCATCTAAAGGCTATCACGTGATCTGCTGCGTGTAAGATGAGAATAAGAAATATATTCCTCTATAAATACATATTATAATAAGTGCCCGTAACAAGTGGTAACAAGATTAAACGAGCGAATATTCAAGAGTAGGTCTGTGCAAAAGTGTTGGTGTGTTGTGTGCAGTATATTTTGTAGTAGTAGGCAGATAGTGTGCGCGTATGTGTTTCCATGCAAAGTTATCGCCGACTCGTCGTCCTCGGTAGTTTCATCTCTTCTTTCGTGGAGATACATTCTTCTTTATTTTTCGAAAAAGACATCAAAGCCGGATATAGTGAAATAGCATATGTTTTAATGAATTTAAGAGATAAATAAAATTAATAGCGTCTACGTTAATGGTGTTAGAATAAAATTACATCAATTTCTCGAGATTCTGTTGCAAAACATAAAAAAAAAAAAAATTTGATTTTATTACACATGTATATTTTGCATTTAACATCTTTCTTCCACACAATTAATATAAAAACTAAAGTATGCATAAAAATATAGAATATTTTAATTATTGAAAATTTGAAATCTATGTGAGAACTGATGAATGCTGATAAGTTTCATCGATTTAATTGTTCTAAAGTATATCCTTATATAAAATAATGTGTCTAAAAAGTTTCGCGATTCTGTGTTGCGGACTTTTCGTTCTCATCATCTCGTCATCAAAATCTCAGCAAAATTCCAACAATAACGAAAAGAAAGATGATAAATCGACAGTACAAAACGCGGATTCTGCAACAATCAGCAGCGACAAAATGAAAACACTGCGATATCATTTGTGTGAAAATAAATTTGCCAACAATTCTCAATATGTTTACAATTATGAGGATGATGATCAAATACAGATAAACTCGCACACCAATTCGACAAATGTCAATCATAAAGAAAATTTCACGCCACAGGAAAGTTATGAAAAGTTGATCGGAAAGAACAATTCCATGTCAAATGATGTCTTTGAAAATTGCAAAGATAGTAAAAAAATTGACATTGTTCCATACGAAATATGCCATAATATTACTTGCATTCTGCTCTGTTGTCCTCTTGGTAACAGTCTGAGTTTGAATGACAGCAAATGCATTTCGGAAGAAATTAAATACCGTCTTCCGAATGTGTACGAATCCACAAACGATTTAATGGAAAACGAAAAGAAGAAAGTGGACGCATCGTTTCAGTTTGCCGTCCATGATTCGTGCTTGAAAACACAATGTTTCAATGTACATAAGAATCGTCAATACGATTATAAGATTTTTATCAATGGTTCTATTTATTTATCTCATTCTAAAACATTATTTAAATCAACTTCATATTGTCTTGCTGTCATCTCGGAAATGGGAAATGAGTTTGAAGTGATTTACTGCTCAAAAATTTCTAATCAAGTTGAGAGAGACGAGATAAAGAACATACCAGCGACTCGCTCGGAAAATCGTTTATTTAAGATGTATAAGAACTTGAATTTAATACGTTTATTATTTTTGGTGCCAATATTTCTAGTGTATTCCATATTGCCAGAACTTCGAAATGTATATGGCTTTACGTTGTGCAATTACAGCTTTGCTTCATCTGTTGCAGTCATAATTCAAGCTGTGAAATATATATATATATATGAAGTGGAAATACCATATTCCGTCTGTATTACACTTGGTACAATATATCAAACAATAAATTATATATATAACTATATGCAATCAATGTAGGGTACATACTTGTCAAGCATAATGTATATTCGCATATTTTTAATCTTTTTAATAATTTAAATGTATAATTTTTCAAAAATATAACCATTACTAGCTTTTCGGACCGCGCGAAGCGCGGTCCTCATATAGCCTATATTAAATCCGTTTTAACACAAAAATTAATTCTTTTTTTGTATTACCGCGAACTACTTCCACATTTGTTGTCCGACTTTCACGAAATTTATATCAAAATAAATGTTTAAATTTTTTTTGGATGACTACTATGTTATCTATTTCTTTCTCCCAGATATTTTATTTTACACCGCGTTTTGCATATATTTAAATATTTATTATATATTTTTATTTTTATTTTCTTGTTTATTTTAATTTCCACACAATTTCATATTTTTAAATATAAAACATTATTTTAGTTAATATATACTTTAAATATTTTTTTTATTACTTAATTATTATATCCTTTTTTACATTTTACTCAATTTTTTTTATTTCTAATGTACCCACCGCTAACCCGCTATTATTAGCTCTCATACAATGTCATAATTCTTCAATTTACAAAATTTCCCTGTATATTACATTTTTTGTAAAACATTTTTCACTTTAATCACAAACACGTACACAAATTTTTTAAAAATTACTTCTTGGTGTGACCAAGTCAATAAATGCGTATGCACATGGGTGCGTGGATACGTGGGTGGGTGCGTGGGTGGATAAATAAAGTGATAAAAATTTGTTAAAATCATATAGTAGCCATCCCGGACAAAATTTGAGTACAAATTTCGAAAAAGTCTGTGAATAAATGTTTGAATGCGTGGGTGGATGCATGGGTGGGATAAAACTTAAAAGAACCACACAGCAGCTTTCTCAGAAAAATTTGCAACATTTTTGTACCAATTTCGTGAAAATTAGTCCATAAATGCGCTTGCGTGTGGGTAAATGCGTGGGTGGAGGTGTAACACTTGAAAAAACCACATCGTCGCCATCTCCAAAAAATTTGCAACATTTTGGTACCAATTTTTACAAAAATCCGTTCATAAATATGCGATTGCGTGGGTGGATGCGTGGGTGGGGGCGTAAACTTAAAAAACTCACACAGCAGCTTTCTCAGAAAAATTTGCAACATTTTTGTACCAATTTCGTGAAAATTGGTCCATAAATGCGCATGCGCGTGGGTGGGTGCGTGGGTGGAGGTGTAACACTTGAAAAAACCGCATCGTCTCCATCTCCAAAAAATTTGCAACAATTTAGTACCGATTTAAAAAAAATCGGTTCATAAGTATGCGATTGCGCGGGTGGGTGCGTGGGTGGAGGCGTAAACTTAAAAAACCCATACAGCAGTTTCCTCAGAAAAATTTGCAACATTTTGGTACTAATTTCGTGAAAATTGGTCCATAAATGCGCATGCATGTGGGTAAATGCGTGGGTGAGTGAGTGGGTGGAAGTGTAACACTTAAAAAAACCGCATCGTCGCTATCTCCAAAAATTTTGCAACATTTTGATACCATGTGTTCAGAAATATTGCAAAAAAAATTTTTTTTGCAAAAACATACCCTCCTCTGAGAAAAAAAAAATAAAAAAAAAAAATTAAAAAAAAAAACCACAGCAGCCACCCCCGAAAAAAATTTGCAACATTTTGGTACCAATTTCGAGACAATCGGTCCACAAATGCGGAAGTAGTTCGGGTACAGACAGACAGACAGACGGACGGTGCTTATATATATAGATTAATGAAATGAAATTAAAATTTAATGCTTTTTAACAATCTGAGTTCGTTGCCACAAATGTATATATACGAACATATATATATATATATATATATATATATATATATATATACATGTATATATATATATACATATATGTATGCCTATACAATATTGAGTTTTAGAATTTTTAGTGTTCTGCCTCTTTTGAAATACCATTTAATTTAATATCGATATAGTATCAATAGTATTCATAAAATATTGTTATAAATTTTAATGCGGGATGTAGAGTAAATCCATTTTTAAATGGTGTATCAGAGAAACTTGCGAGTTACTCCATTTTAACGCGCTCTCAGTAATTAAAATATTATTTATTATTATAGCTTTTATTTTTATTCATTTTTCAGCTTTTTTCAATTATTTTTTTTCTATGTCGGGTTACTTCTGGCTAAGTACCATGAGCTTTAATATGTGGTGGACATTCAGGTAAATGGGCAAGTATTTAACATTTTATTTTATGTTTGACTTGCCCCTAATTTTCATTTGACTTTACGGAATTATGTTATAATATGAAATAAAACAAATATTTTGTTTCCCTATTTATATTTTTTGAAATTAAAAATGGCATATTAGATAATAAGCACAACATTATTAATTTATAAAATATTTATAAAATATTTCAACGCAGTTTAATTCTGATTAATGTAACCAATTTTTCTTTAATGTTTTTCACATTATACGAGCGTAATATTTATATCGCGTTGATCTTTCTTTTTATGTATAAAATAGGCAATACATAATAATTTTTTAACATAAATACTTTTTGTCTCCAAAATCTAAATAAAAATTTAGATTATCTTATTAAAATATTTATGTATATATGTAACAGTTTATAAATATAATACATTGTCATACTATTTACTATTTCTCATGGTAATTGAGTGAGGTTTTCTAGAATTTGCTTTGATCAAAAACAAACATTAATTTAACTCTTTTACATTTCTTTTATCTATACTTACAATTAATTAAATACGACAAACAAATTGCAGAGGATTCTGTTCGTTACAAAAAAATGTCAATCGGAAAAGACAAACGGAAAAAAAAAAGTTACTGTATTATGTTATTTTTGCGTATGGTTGTCCATTTATACTTGGTGTTGTTTGTGTCATCGTCGTGGAATTTATTTCCAAGTATATACCAAAAACATTGAGACCTGAATTTGAAATAGGAAATTGTTGGTATTGTAATAAATGTATGTCTTAGATAAGTCTATTAATGCTATAAAATTTTAAAAGTATGTGAAACAGTATAAAATTTTATGACAAGAATATAAATAATATTGATAATAATAATAGTAATAATAATAAATAATCATAATAATAATAAGTTTATTCTTTCAGCTCTAAACGTGTTGTATTATACCTGGATCAAAGCTGTCGGTATCTTTAGTAGCGTTTGCTTATTCATTTCTACGGTATTGAATATTAAACGATTTGAAAAAAAGACAGACTTTTGTCTAACAGATTCAGAAAGCAAACGGTATAATGACAATAAAAAATGGCGAGTATTCTGACATGTTTTGTATTTTATTTGACATTTGAAACAATACACACGTGCACATTTTTTTCTATTTTATTTTCCTTTTTTCTTTCTGACATGTAATTACATAATCGATAATCTATAAGAGAAAAAAAAAACATTCATTGCAGTAACTTGAATTGTGTTTTTCCGAGAAAGTCTGTAATACGAGAAAGTCTCTTATGTCGCAAATAGTGATAATAAAGTTAACGAATATACATTTATTTCTAAAAGAACATTACATTTTTGAAGACTTTCTATAAACAACTATTTCTTTTCCCCCTTTTAGGTTCGTAATTTATTCCATTATTTTTCAATTCAATTATTTGATACAAAATTTATTTTTATTGAACGATTTACTAAATATTTATATATGAATATATATATTTATACATTTTTAGGTTTAATTTATATATGAAGTTATTTATCGTGATATTTATCATATTGGGCCTAAATTGGCTTGTGCATATAATGTCATGGTCTTTTGGAACAAAGAAAAAATATTACTTGATTTATGTTTTGTTTGATATTGTGCAAAGTTTCTGCACCTTTGTCATCTTTGTATGGAAAAAGAAGATCAAGCAGATGTTACTGAAACGATTCGGATACGAGACGAAGGCAAGATCGACTAACATCGATTTAAATATCACAACTGGAGTGTATGCACAGTCGAACTCTTGCGGGAAGAAAATAATCATGCGAAAGATTCGTCCCAAGAGATTGAAATCTAATATTGTAATAATACATATGTAAAAATATTTTATTGCAATTCATGAATAAACAATTAATCGCAATTTAATATCCGTGTTATATGACAGATGCTCGATTATGATCGTAACGCACAACGCGAATCAAGACAGCCAATCGTGGAAAATGACAAAAATGTCAACAACATGCTTTTTTATAGAAAACTAGCAGACAAGCTAACGCGAGTACTTACCAGAGTCTCTAGATAGAAATTCTAATACTTAGAGATCCTTGATGATCCATTCATATAAAAACATTTATTCTGACATCTTACAATTTACGAAAGTTAAAGCAACCGCAGATTTATCTTAAGAAACTCAAAATTATATAAAAATTTAACTTTTTACCCGCATATACTTTGTTATGATGTACTTAGGACAATACAGTAACAAGAAACATGTTTTCATATTTTGGCGTTGGTCGATAGTTTAATATTTGCAATTCTTATTTTAATGCAGCGGCATTTAGATTTCAACTGGCAATTTTGTTATTAATTTTAATTTCTGACTCTATCATGCGCTATCCTCTATGATTCTTTTTAAATAACATTCTATGTAAACTGAAGATGGTCTAAAATAGGCCGAAACATGTGTTTAATTATTTAATAAATTGTTTTATCAGCATGAAGTTCTTACTGCGGTTTATTATTATAATTATGATTTATTTTCGTTTGAGCTTATTGTCAATTAAAAAATGGTAATAATTCAATCGACCAATTCTGGCAAATAAGTAAATTTATTGAATTTTCAGTGAAAATTCAATAAATTTACTTATTTGCCAGAATTGGTCGATTGAATTATTACCATTTTTTAATTATCATCTGGTGACTTCATAGTTTTATATCATTTATTGTCAATTGTTTAAAAAATTTTTTATTATCTATTTTTCTATTATTTCTATTATCAGAACTCTATTTCTAGTATCAGAACTCTTATTTGGAAGAGCATTGTACATGCCCAGAACTACACGAGAAATGTTGAAGAAAAATCAGAACTGTCATACTAAAATAAGTAGCTTACACTTATATTTCAAAATACGAGTTTTTCGGAAATAATAATTGTTTTAATAACAATTTCGGAAATAATAATGTTTTAATAATTTTCTAATTATATTTGTCATTAGAAATTTTTGGAAGAGTATTGCACTAGCCCAGAATTAATCGAGACCTGTTTAGTAGAAAGCAGAATTTTCGAAATAGAACCAGAAGATCAACATTATATATTCAAGAATACGTGTTTTTCGGATGAAAAAATAGATTTAAAAAATTTATTATTCAATATTTCTATAGTACATTGTCTTTACATTAATCTCGTACCAAGAACATGTCAACGTACAAATTATTTTATTTAGTAGACATATTAAAAAAATACTCATTTTAATGTTTGCGGAGATTAATTGTCGAATTTTATAAGTTTAAATGCGGTCATAAATAATTTATTCAAATATATTTAGATATTATATTGTCTGAAAATTAATTGGGCTCTAAGAACATGCCAGCGTACAAATTATTTTACTTAATTATTTTACTTAAATATAATAGAATCTACGTAGTATAAAGTTCATGAAGAGGAATGCTTGATTTTTAATACTTTAGGATCAATCAAAAATATTTTATTTAAATTAAGAGTTTAACAAGGCTCTGTAATATAAATGTAATTTTAAAGTGTAAGTCAGGCAATAAGAGCCAAATCGCGGATGACAGTGCGTTATCCCAACAAAACTAAAATTTTTTTGTTAGAATTAATTACCTGTGCACAAGGCATTAAATTTTACTTGGTCACGGCCAAGATTTAAAATTGGAATAATCTCTACAAGAGATTTAATTCTATACATCCCCTCTTCCCCCATAAGGAAATAAATGCGAGAGAAAAATATAGATCCGAAAGTCGCTAAATCGGGAATCGAACCCGAGACCTTTCGCTTGCCGGGCGACTGCTCTTCCAACGAGATTCTGTTGAAAAACATAAAAAGAAAAAGATAATTTGATTTTATTACATGTGTATATTTTGCATTTAACATCTTTCTCCCACACAATTAATATAAAAACTAAAGTATGCATAAAAATATAGAATATTTCAATTATTGAAAATTCGAAATTTATGTGAGAACTGATAAATGCTGATAAGTTTAATCGATTTAATTATTTAATTATTCTAAAGTATATCCTTATATAATAATGTGTGAAAAAAGTTTCGCGATTCTGTGTTGCGGACTTTTTGTTTTTATCATTTCGTCATCAAAATCTCAACAAAGTTCCACCGATAACGAATTAAGGGAAAGATGATAATTCGACGGTCCGAAACGAGAAGGATGTGGATTCTACAACAATCAGCAGCGACAAAATGAAAATACTGCAATATGATTTGTGTGAAAATAAATTTGCCAACAATTCTCGATAAGTTTAAAATTTTAGTTATAATAACTTATATTTTTTTAGCTGGAAAATTCTCCGTTAAACTATAGTTTAAAAATATTAGTTACCATTTAGTTAAATTTTAAGCATGATAACTGTATTTCAGATTGTAATATAAAAACATAAAAAATTAGCTATGGTAGCTAATTTGTTTTGGTATTGATTTAACGCATCCACATACATTTTTTCTTATACATAGCACAATCTCTGTTCGTATAATGTACATATAGGAAAAATAATAAGGAATTTGATGGAACGTCTCGCACAAAATGGAACGTTCGCGACCTACCTCGTTCGAGTCTCGATCTCGAATGAAATAAACATGAATGAAAACGAGTCTATCTCTGTGAATTAGAATGCTCTTGGCCATGCCTCTGCAACCCCGTCATTCATTCATACAATAAAAGTGGAGGGAGAAAATCGCGACGTGATCGCGTTTTCCATATTAGGTGTTATCGTAATATGTATCAAATTTGATCAGTATAATAATTATAATTAATAATTATCTGCGTTCATGATCGTTTATTTTAAAAGATTTATATAAATATATAAATAATATAATATATGTATATATGTATACATAAAAATATAATGTAATATATGTATTAATATATTTTTATATTCAATATTCCACGTTTGTGTCATCGTATGTAAAATATATTTTGGCCTGTACCTTAAATTTTTGCTTAACACAATTAGCATTAATCTTATAATTTATAATATTATCTAATTTAAGTTATCTAATTGTAGTACCTTATACTTATAATTTAATCTAATTCTTCTATAATATAATGTAATATTTTATTATCTAAAAATTAATTATATTGTTGTTTTGGCAGCTACAGCAGCGTCTTGCGGATATTTTTTTGCCAGGTTTTGGTTCGGTACGTAATGCGTCTCTTCAAATTTAGAAAAATATCGGCCTATTTCACTATTTTCTATCCGTCCAGTTGTTAAAGTTAGTGAATCTAATTAAAACATAAAAATAAAAAAATTATTTATGATAACTAAGATAAATTAAATAATAAATTAAATAAAATAATAATAAATACATACAATAATAATAACTAAAATAAATAAAATTAATTAAATTTAAAATTGAGATTGAATAAATATAAAACAAAGTAAAATATTTTTTACATTGTGTACAGAAAGATGGATTCATGGACTAAAAAATATAATATGAAATAAAAATAAAACTACAAATATGAATTATATTCATACTTTCTCCCGCGTAACATATTTCGTCTTTTTCAGTCAGAATTAGATAATTTGTTTGTTTTTTGTTTGATTGCACTAAAATTACTATAGATCTTCAATGGCAAAATTTGATCAAATATTTCGCTTGTGTCAAAGTGAATATTATTTTTATCCATATATCTGCACCATCCGATTATTACTCCCTTAAAACATTTGAGTGTAGGTTGATTACAATTTACGATCATTCCAACCGCAAATTTTTCTTCTGATCTTGTATTTATTGATTGTTCTGTATTTTTAATGAAAAAACTGACTTGGAAAAGAGCATTAGATTTTAATTGCTATTTGTCGTTAATTATAATCTCTAGATATAGACTTTTAGCAAGTATCAGTACAACCAATTATATTACAGATAATTATAATTTATATTTATAAATGTATATGTGTTATCGGAGAAAAATTTCAGAGATAACTTTTTATCGTTTATACTTATTATATATTAATGTGTGTATAAGCATGAATAATGCTGACATACCATTTTTTCATCCGTAATAATTAAGTGGTCTATTTCACGCGGCATGATCATCAAAGTTTTATTAGACCAGTTCTTCATATTCACAAGTATTTCCAGCATATCTACCAGCATCTGAAAAAGGAAAAATTGTGAATATAGTGTCCAGATTACAAAGTGAGAAATTGTTATAAATATATACATGTAACATATTTCGTAAATTATTAAATTGCAAATTAAATAATATAATAAATATATCTGACGATTATTTAGTAAATTTTTTACTTAGAATTATTTTTTAAAACATTTCACGGAAATATTTTTTATTTAAAAAAGAAATTGTTATATAAAAATATCTAAAACTTTAAAGACTCATAATCATAAGATTAAGATTGAAATTTAAAAAATTACAAAAATACTTAAGTTGAGATTTTGTATTAGTTTTTTATATTTTTACATTACATTATCGAAAATAAAATAAAAATACTCGTCCACTAAATATATATTTGCCAAAAATTTAATAGACATATTTACTAACCTCTTCAGCTGGAATAGTTAAAATGGATTCGTGTGCTGGATACAACATTCTGCATAACGACAATTTATTGTCAATACAATCCGGAAAATTGGCAGATATTATATTGAAACATCTTGCATTTTCTAAGCCAATAGTAGTACTGTAAACAATAATCAATATACATATGTGTATGTTTATATATGAATATATAAAAAGAGAATAAAAATGCAAGATTCGGATAATTCCAAAATTATATATACTTACTAATTTGGTTTCCAAAATATACAGATAAGAGTACCAAAGGTATATGTAGACAATTTAATTACGTCGCAACGCAAACCAAGTCTCCTAGCGATGCTATGATATATTATTGCTAAAATAATTTCTTGACCATATTTATTTTCCAGGACCTGTGTCAGAAATTACAATACAAAAATTAATTATAGAAAGAGAGAATATTTTTAAAATATAAAAAACACATTTGGTCATGTTCAGAGCATAATTGATAATTATAATTATTATATATTTTATAATTATAATCTAATATCAACTTACATTATCTATACATGTGTATTCCAATTTAGAGTCTTTCGATTTGTTTGGTAGAAAGTGTAATTGGTCCAATATATATTCCTGGAGTGTATCCATAATCTTAGTTCCTTCCGTTTCGTTCCAATAATTATTGTCGATATTGTTATTTTCCCAATAGGAAAAAATCTCAGAGGATGTCGAGAATATGGGATGATCAGGATGCTTTTCCGCGAGACATTTCAGCGCCCCTTGTGTTACATTATTTAGTGATGTTTTCATCTTCGAGAAAAAAATATCTTTTTCTGGTTGAAGCCATTGGGCAAAAATAGTAGCGCACCGTTCTAAAAGCTGCTCTCTCTGAGGTTGTTTTTTAAATATTTCCCACTTTTCTCTCGTCGAATGTTGTCTCAGATAGCAAAACATGTTTTTAATGCAATATCTTTTCGTCAGATCGCAATCAGCTCCCCTGAAAAAGTTATATATTAATTGTGCAAAAGTACATAAGTAATGTTGTGCTTAGATGACTTCAAAATTAGCTTAAAGGTAAGATAAAAATATGTAAACTTATCTTATCGTTAGATAATATAAAGATAATTTTGTTTTAAATATATCTATAGTCCAGTAAAATTAGACTTTAATTTCATAAAATTTAGGAGCAAGCTGAATTTTTGTGGAGAACCTTATTTCGATATTTTAATGAAATCCTAAAAAGTCCCTTAATTTCAACCAAGACGTTTTTTTAAAAGGGGGATAAAAGAGGGTAAATTTTAGTTTTTTGCCATTATCTCGAAAACTATCAATTTTTCGAGAAATATAGTTACTATCAAAATTGTAGCTCATAAAATTTCCTACAAAAAAGGTCATTATCCTTTTTTCGTACGACTAATCGTTTTTTAGTAAAACGTGCGGTAAAGTTGCAATATTTTTAATATAATATTTCTGCACTTTTTAGTCACATATAATACTATATAAATAAAATATATTTAAAATAATAAAATTAAATAAATATATTTATATATATATGTATAATATAGATAACAGCAAACATTGTACATTAATCTATGATATACATAACGCTTTAATTTATATTGAATTCTTACCGTAGAGATTGCGTAAGCATATGTTTCATCTCATCCACAAAGAAAGAAATAGTCATGAAATTCTCAGGCTTGGTAATCATGTCATTCAAATGTTTACTTTTCAAATAAAATACGTGCTCAAAACTTGTGAAATTATCAATCAAACAACTATCATTACAGTTATTTATTAATTCGGACACGACATTTCGTAATTGTTTTACACAATTAGTTCCTGCTTCTATAAAGCTTAAACTTTCTTCATTATTCTTTTCATTCCCTGCAGATTCTTGCTTTTCCTTGGATTTCTTATCATAAAGTTTTTTCGCAGAAGGCCACCTGTAAAAATCGTAGAGTAATAAATATTTGAAATACGTAATAATATATAAAGCATCAAATATCTATCAACGTATTAAAATATCAATCTTATATCTTAACGTAGAAAATGTACAATATATAAATTTCAAATTTAAATTATAATTACATTTTATATTAAAAATGTACATTATAAAAATAGTGAAAAAAACAGTTTCTCCATTACATAGCTTTAAAACAATATTAATTAATTATTGTTAGCTTTTACATTTTACATTTATAAGACAGTTACTGTACAAAACTAATTAATAAATAAAAATAATAAATTACAATAAACAGATTGATAAAATATGCAAAATTGTAATTTTTTAAATTTTAATTTGTTTTATTTTTTTATTATATTAAATTTGTTATAAATATTTACATTTTATTATATTTTTTGTTTTTTATTATTCAGAAGTGGGATATCGAAGATATGCGGATAGGAAACGCGGAAATAAAAGACGTAAATGTGTCGAAAAAACAGGACTAAGCAATTACTTCCTACAAAATTTTCTTTAATTTTATGAATTTTATTAAATTTAATGATAAATATAATTTAATTTATTAAATAAAATTAATTTGTTTTAGTAATTGTATTGTTTATTAAAATTTTCTTATGTGTACTCGTTGTATTATCTGTTTTATTTTATTTTTATATATTTTATTTATTTCCGTTTTATAAAAATAAAATAAATAAAACAAATAAAATATCTTTTACGTAAATATGATACATTGTGTGTGCGAGAATTTAATTATAAAAAATAAAATTACAAAAAAAATTTAGAAGCACAGCGATTACATACCTCTTTGAAAACTTTTTTTCCCAATCCTTTTTGTATGGTGGTGCCAACCAAAATTGTCTGCATGTTGATTTAAAATTAATAACATCTTCAATACTGATGTCATTGCCAAGAATGATGTCTATCAATTCTGTAGGTAAATCATTTATCGTAGCCATTATAGAAGAGCACTTCAGAAAAGCATACACATAAAAATGTAATTTAATATGATCGTAAAAATATTCTCGTATAATTAATTTTGTCTGTGAAAATTGTTTAAATCTATTGCGATATGTTATTCTCAACAAACGCGTCTGTGCATTTCACAAATTCGTATTTACGTGCATAACAGAAGTCCTGTACAGTGTGACTACCCTTATTCTGGATTCTAGACCTAATATATACCTGAAAAGCCCTTTGAATTTTCCCCCACCATACTCACTATATTTGTCACGTGTGCACAAAAAAAACAAAAAATGGAGAGAAACATAATAGATACTGATATAATTATATATATATATATATATATATATATATATATATATATATATATATATATGTATGTATATATAATATAAAAATATTTATATGTAACATGAATTTTTTCGTAAGTAGTGTTTTCTAAATTCAAAAAGAACTTTCTCTTTCGTGCAAACAATAAAAATTCTTTAAGCTTGAAGGTCTTTCAGGTAATGTCTCTTTATGTATGTTTTAACAATAAGTATCAAAAAGATATATTGCTTTCTTAAACTGTAAGATTTATTGTTCCAAAAATATTCTTTTAAGAGAACAGACATAGGTATAACATAAATAAAGACTAAAATGACGATCATAAAAACTGCAAATTCTGAATCTCTCTGATGCATTGTTTATGACTTTTCGAATTTTCCAGTTTTATTGTTTCCCTCCCCAAAAAGGTTCTTTTAAAAGAAAACACAGGTAAATCTTTTTATTGATTTCATCTGTTTCTGGCAAAAAGATATGTTGAAAAGAGAAAATTAAGATGACGATTTTAAGATTTGTAAATTTTTTGAACAATATTACATTTTGAATAATTTTTTAAAAAATATTTAAATAATATGTCACATTAATTACATTAACAATCGAAATAAATGATCAATATTGCAATAAATTAGTTGATTGCAATTGATTGCAGTCACAATGATTAAGTCAATAAAACACAAATTAATAATATTATTTATAATGTTTCATAAATATTTTAATATCATATTATTAATATTTAATTCTTTTAATATTATAATATTATTATTAATATTTACATTCATTTATGATATTTCAATATTTTCGTATTGTTTGAAGTAAGTGCGTAATGTGCAAGGTTTTAAGCAATCATTGTTTTGGCATAACAATGGATCATTGCGATGAATATGCAATACAACAAATATTTACAAGGTACGATATAAAGACGTGTGAAAAGATGCTAAATAAAAATAAAATTCTTACATCAATTTTTTACGTTTTAACATACATACACTTATTAATCAGTTTATGTATATTTACAAACAATTCGAATTTGCTGTGAAAAAAATTGTTTAAATATAATATAAATATATAATATATAATTTTATATACAGTATATCAATATATTGTATAATATATAATTTTATATACAGTATATCTTTATATGCTTTTTTGCAATCCGACCTTTGGCGAGAAAACCGATCATTATTATTTTATACACATGCCTGTATCTTTATCGATATATTTATATTCTTCATAAGAAATGTTTTATATTTTGTAATTGTGATAAAGAAATAGTGAATTCCAAGTATTTTTGACACATATCAGATAAAAGAGCAAAAAAATACATATGTAATAGAAAAAAAAAAGATCGTGTACAATTTATAAAAGTCAACAAAATTTGCGTAAAAATAAAACAGTGCTTCTTCACTGTCGAGTAAAGATAGAACACGTACAGAAATATTATCGAAATTCGATTAATCAAACATCGTCAGATGATAATACAATGGTAAAAAAAAGTAGAATATATGTAAGAAGAGAGTTATATTTTTTAGTATACTCTGTACCGCAAAAATCATATAATTCTAACACGATATATGCACTTTTTTTTTTTTTTTTTTATAGTCAGGAAATTTACAACCAAACTTCGCCGTCCTGACCCCTGAGGGAGGGCCAGGAGGCTTCGTGGTGGATTCCCGCCCGTAGTATCCCGAGGGACTATCGGACGGGGGACCGACCTAAAACCTGACTGAAGCCCCTGGTCATATGGGTATTATCCACCGCGGAACCGCATTAGCATTACATCACGGTGGAATACGATATATGCACTAGATATAATAAGAAAAACAAAATGTTTTATAAAAATAAAACAGAATTTTATATATAATTGCTAAAAAATGATCTCTGTTAAAAAATACAAATTATTTGAAGCTATAAGAATTCATTAGTAAAAGATAAAGTTTAAAGTAATTAAAAATAAAAAAAATATAATCTGTTTAAAGTAACTAAAGAAATTAATACAATTTATATACATATATTATAATGGTAAAACAGGCATTAAAAATAAAACATTGCACTAATTTAAAATTGTTTTTATTAAAAATGCAAATAATTCGAAAATCGTAAGTATTAAAAATTATAATAAAATTAATTTGGAGCTATTGAAGAAGTGTGTGTATATAACTCTCCGAAAATTTACCTTTTGCACATATATATTTCTCGAAATGTTTAATGTCGTAAGACGATAATAACGTGATGTAATTCTTCTTTTTCTTCTTCTTGACAAACATAATCGTCGACGATTTATTTTAAAAGTAGCGTGCAAAGAGCAGTTACTCGCAGTCGTATTCATTTCGTTCTCGCGTGTGAATTTTTTTTAACATATATTCCTTGATATTCCAGAAAACTCTTCATAATCTCACCGTTTTCTTTTATTATTTATTAAATCACTCATCAGTGCAATGAGATTGCTCGGAATCATATGTTTGCTGTCATTTTACGGTTGCCTTAATGCGGCATCGATGTCACCGGAAGTGACTTTTGAGCCAAGCACATTCATTAGGAGAATAAGAGGGACTACCTGGAATTGGTTGAACAATACCAAATTCAATTCTAATATTCTAAGTACGGTGAGTTTACTTTCATAAAAACAAAGGTTAAAATCTTCATTATTTCGATTGAATAAATTTTTTCGATGCTGTCGAAAAATGGTTAAAATAATCTTAAGCCACGATTGCCATTTTTTTAAATTAAAAATTGAAATTTTCCGCAAAATTATACATCATCTTCAATAACATGTAAAAAATAATATATTTATATTCTTTTCTTTTTAAGAGCCGATTTAATATTTATTTATTAGTATACTGTTCAATAAAATCTTAAATTTTACTTTCTTCCTATCTTAAAATATGTATAATAATAATATGTGGAATACATATACGCTATTATGTCTCTCACTTTAATAATACTTATTGTAGTCTGTAAAAATAATAAAAAAATAAAGTTACGTATATATACATATTATAATTGTAAAATACATATATGTACGTAAAAGTGATTAATTTCAAATGCAGTGATTCAAAAGAATAAAAATAAAAAAGATTGACTAAAAAAGGAAATCTAAAATTGACTTAATTGAAATAATTTTGATTTGACAATTGAAATAAATTTGCAAGAAGAAGTATATGATATTTGTTTTAGATCAATTATTGTAGATTAATATCTTTCTTTTTACTCAATTTTTTCTTTTAGCCAGAGATGATAAAAAAGAAAGGTTATCCCGCGGAATCAGCTTACGTCATAATGACGGAAGATGGTTATCTTTTAACATTACATCGTATCCCAGGTGGCAATGATTTTTTACCTGTATTATTGCAATACGGTTTGTTAAGCAGCTCCGCTGACTGGCTCGCTCTTGGCAAAAATAAAGCATTACGTATGACCATTTAATCGATCATTAAAACGATATATATGTATATCGTCGTTAATGACATTTCTGCCTCAAGAAAAATGCTTGAAGAAATTGGAAATTAACATTATATAATAAGAAATAGTGTATGAACGAAATAAATTATGTGATAAATATTGCAAACATTTTCCTTTTTATTTTTGCTTACCTAGTAGCTAATCAAGGATACGATGTTTGGTTGGGTAATTTTCGGGGTAATATTTATTCGAGGAAACACACTTCTTTATCTACGTCCGACCCAAAATTTTGGGATTTCAGGTATTTGCGTAAAATAAGAATGCATTGAAAATGATATATATTACACATTACTATTATAATAACTCTATTTGGCACAAAACACAAGAACTTATTAAACTTATACATATATATATAAATTTAACGTATAAGACGGGCAACAAGAGCCAAATCGCGGATGACAATGCGTTATCCTAACGAAACTAAAATAATTTTTTCGTTAGAATTAAATACCGGTGCACAAGGCACCAAATTTTTACTTGGACACGGCATTCATTTATTTATTTTCCGTAGGGGGGTTAAAGGGGTATTGAAATTAAATCTCAAAATATGAGATTATTTCATATTTAAAAATCTTGGCCGTGTCCAAGTAAAAATTGGTGCCTTGTGCACCGGTATTTAATTCTAACGAAAAAATTATTTTAGTTTCGTTAGGATAACGCATTGTCATCCGCGATTTGGCTCTTGTTGCCCGTCTTATACGTTAAATTTATATTTATATTACAGAGCCTTGTTAAAACTCTTATATTTGATACACGCTGGCTTAAAAAATGCGTTTGTTTACCAACATTAATATATATAACAGAGAAAAGTATAGAATCGAAAGGATCTGAATAGCTCAGCTGGAAGAGCAGTCGCCCGGCAAGCGAAAGGTCTCGGGTTCGATTCCCGATTCAGCGATTTTCGGATC